CCCCCCCCCCCACCCCTGCCTCTTTACCTGAGTCGAATTTGGCAATGTTTAGAGATATTTTTAGTTGCACAATTTGGGGAAGGGTTGCTACTGGCATCTAGTGGGTAGAGGCCAGGGATGCTGCTAAACATACTATAATGCACAGGACTCCTCCCCCACCCCCACACATAGACATACATATACACAACAATTATAAGGTCAATAGTGCTAAGGTTGAGAAAACCTGCTCTCTTTTAAGACAATTCCACCAAGGCAACCCTGATTAAGCATCCCTTGGTGTTTCCACTTTGCTGCCTATTAAGAGGGCATCCTATTTCATTCACCATCTCCCAGTCCCACTGTGTCCCCAGGGATGTCAAGTAAGTGCTATGAAAATCCATAATAAGGTAATGACAAGGGAAGTCCATGAAGGGCTTTGGACCATCAAAAGAAAGGACACCTCAAGCCACAGGAATGAAGTCTTATTAACAATAGTGTATCAATAATACACCTTAAATATCTGTGGAATCCATCCACTCACTATCCTAGCTCATCTGAATGACTCCACACTTTCTTAAATGGTCTCCCTGCATCTATGCTTGCCACCTACAATCTGTTTTCCAGACAGCAGCTAGAGTTTTGTTTTCAAAATGTAAACCTAATTATATCATTCTTCTGCTTACAACCTTCATGGCTCTCCATTATTTTTACAATACAGTTTATGCTCCCCTTAGCATGACATTTAGCCCCTTGCCTACTTCTTCAGCCTCATCTTGTCTCTTGTAATCTGTGACTCTCCCATGATAAATTTTTTCAGTAGTTTCCCAAGGAGACAATCTCTCTGTGTTTCTCATTTACCTATTGCTTTAAAAAAAAAAAAAACACTTTGTTTTTAAGTAATCTCTATACCCAACATGGGGCTTGAACTCACAGCCCTGAGATCAAGAGTCACATGCTCCACCAACTGAGCCAACCAGGTACCCCAACCTCGATAACTTTTAAATGTTCACTTTATATATGACATCCTCTGGTAAGCCTTCCATAATCATCTCACTATGGTTTGGTTGCCCCTGCTATATGTGCCCAGGTTACCTACACATTCTTAGCATCCATCAAATATACCTGGCCATTTCCTTCAATAGATTGTGAGTTCTCTGATGGCAGAGACTGTTTCTACTATGTTCATTATTCTATCCTCAGGGCCTAGCTGAGTGCCTGGCACATAGCAATTATTTTGTAAATGAATGGATGGACGGGTGGATGGTTTAGCAGTGTATTTGTCTCTGCTGGCTTCTGTTTGCTTTCTTGGCCCTCTTCACTAAAACCTGCCCCAGAAGTAATGGGCCATTTAGATCACAGTTTGTCAAGAAAATTGGGTCCCTCCTCCCTGCTGCAACTTTAGGTCAATTCTGTCAGTCTCTGGCAGAAACTTCCATTTAGCCCTCTGTCCTGGTCTGAGCCACCCAGAGCTATGTAGACTGAGAGCAGGCAAAGAGACTGTGATCAGTGCCTTTGGGAGCCCCCATAAAGGCAAAGAAAGTGTAGTTTCCTGGGAGTATGAGGAATGGCCATGCCAGCTGAATTCCATACAAGTGAGCTTCTGCTTCTCTCATCCTGGACACTAGAGTTGTATTGGGAGTGAAATTACTGACCTTTCCAGAAGCCCCTGACTTTATCCCACCTCCTTCCTTAGGGGTCTCCCCAAATCTAACATTGCACAAACTCAAGAGTGAACAGAAGCTCCCTGACTTAGTCCCTTACTTTGTGGGCTGGCCAATGAAGTCTATTTACTTTGGGGGTGAATGCCTACATATTTTGCTTACTGGTCAATGAGACCACAAAAAGGTCATCAAAATATGATGAGAAGGCACAAAATACTGCAAACAAACAGCCCTCTAACAAAGTCCATTTTTTTTTTTTCCAAATGAGGAAACTAAGTGATTCCTAGGAGCAGACAGATCGTGCTTGCTCACAGGAGGGGACTAGAAAAGGAAGTTATCTTGGCAAGAATAAGGCGCTAATTGCAACCTCCCTGCAGGTCAGAGAAGAATCTCCTTGCATGGCAGCTGCAATAAACCAGGGCAGGTTTCTAAGGTCTGAACTACTTTTCTGTCTCTGGTTTTCCTACAAGTCTACTACCACAACACAGCCATCACAGCCCCACCTGGCCCTTTCGTCCTTGCCTAAACCCCGTCTGTCTCTCAGAGCCTTTTCAATATCCCTGTTCATTTAGGAAATACATTTATAGGAAATACTTTCTGACAACTTCCCCTGAAACACTTGATCCTAATCTGAACTTTGTCACCGTTTATCACTAGAGGACTTTGGTTACCTCAAAGGTTTTCCAGCAACTCAAAGATAATTGGGAGCATCACCAGCTGCTTTAGCCCCAGGTCCACCACTCCATTCTTCCCACTTAACACCTAACAATTTTAACAATAACAAACATTTATTGAGTGGTTACTAGGTGCCAAACACTGTTGTCTGTGTTAATACATTACCTTATTTATTTCTCTCAATAACCTTATGGAAGAGGTAATATTCTTATTCCTGTGTCCCAGGGAAAGAGACTGAGAGGTTAAGGAATTTACCTAAGAATACCATTGGTGAATGATGAGGGTGGAACTTAAACCCAAATCTTCCTGCCTCCAATCTCCTACCCTTAACCACTACACCATCCCCATGGCAAGTTTGTAAATTCACCATGGATGCTGAGATTACACCCTGTTTAAGTTCCCTGTAAACGTCTTCTTAGGAATAAGCACTGGGAGATGGGAGATCATAGGGCCTGGTTCCCATCAAATCAAAATGAGAGGGACTATGTTCACAGTAAGTTCCATAAGTAACTGTGTTGCTTTTGCTTCCTATATTTTTCCATGGCCTAGAACAGTGCCAATAAATATTTACTGAATGAATGAATCAGGTTGTTCCCTGATTTCTCAGAATCTTGCTGACTGTAAGGACATTGAGGTAATCTCTTCATTCCCTACATGAAGACATAAGGCAGGAAGAACCTGGGCCCAGTTTCATGAGCACAAATCTATTTGTGTAATCAAAGCATCACCAGGCCACAAATGTTCAGAGTCCACTGACTTTAACTGCCATTTGCTACTTCAAAATGTTCTCACCCCAAAAGAATGGACGTTGTCTCTAGAGCTCTTTATAATAGTGTCCAACTTCTGACATAGTAAGAGACAGATGTTGGTTTAAAATCCTTATGTATTTTTTTGTTTCTTATGGGACATGACATTGAGAAGGTTTATTTATCTCGCTGGGCTTTATTCATCTCATCTGTACTATGAGGGAGTGGGACTTTCAACTTGCTAAAGGTCTTTTGATTTTGGACATGCTAGTATTTCCAGATAAGAGTCAGAGTAAGTCAGGCACTGTCTGCTTAGTCCCTACCCAGACAACACCCACAACCTCATCTTCCACATCTTTAGCAATATCATTAGCAGTATGTTGTAGGGGAAGAGAAAACTCCGGCCACTTGCTCTTGTTCAATGGCTCTCCTCTACCTTAAATCCAAGGCAAATAGTGATCAGAAGGGAACAGGACTATGAATGGGACTATGGCAAGCAAGTTCTCTTGGATGTCTCTTCACCTTAGGCAAAGATGCCCGGGAGCCAGAGCTCTGAGTTGTCATGGTGAGCACAGTGGTGATGCCTAGGCCCACGCGAGCAGGGGCGGCATCCATGTTGATCCAGAAGGAGACCCAGGACAGGATAACGATGAGTAGGCTGGGGATGTACATCTGAATCAGATAGTAGCCCATCTGCCTTTCCAGGTGAAACTTTACCTCGATGCAGGTGAATTTCCCTGTAAGGAAAGAGGTGAGGTATCAGGCCTCAGGTTCCCAGCCTGCAGCTGAGCCTGAGAGGCAGGACTAGGGCATCCCTATCTCTATAGGTCAGCCTCTGGGAGCCTCAGCTGGGCAAATAAATGAGCCTTTCAAAATAGTCCCAAGGAGCACCAGAAGTTTGTTCTAAGGAAGCTGTCAGAGCAGCCACCACAGACTTGGCCTCTTGGTCCAAGCACTAGTTTCCAGAAGAGGGCCTTCCCTGTGACCACACAGCAAGAGGATTAAGCACAGAAGGATTCCAGAGCCAGACTGCCTTGGTTTGAATTCTGAACCTTCCACATACTGTGTGACCTCAGGCAAAGCACCCAAGCTAACTTACCTTCAGTTTCCTCGCGTATAAAACAGAGTAACAACAATATCAACTCCATCATTGTAGGAATTAAATTAGGTAATGTATTTGGGGCGTTGAGCACATAGGTAGTTGGTACTATCGTCATTATTAACAAAGCAATGAGCTTAGACTCTGCCCAAATCTCAGCAGCCTTGCTTGAGCTTGCTGGTACCCCAGATGCTCTCTAGCAACAACAATTCACTGAAATAAACAGTGTCTGTATCTTAAGCAAGTGGGAAGAGCTGGATAGGAAATATCTGGAAACAGTGTCCAATAGAGATCAGCTCTGGATAGTAGGCAGCAGGTGCCCAGAGAGCATCAGGCAGCAGCATTCTATCCCACCAATAAAAAGTGCATTAGTCCAAGCACATGTACCAATGCTCTGCCTCCTCTGCCAGCCATCTTCACTTTACCCTGCTTCCCATGCCCTGAGGCTACGAAAACACTAGCTCAGAGCTTAGCAGCAGAGGCTTAGGATAACCAAAGCAAAAAGCAGGGGATGTGTATATTGCTATTTCATTCTGGACTAGGTTTGCTCTTATCAGGCCTGATTCCTCAAGGCTAGTAACTTCATCAATGACTGATTATGGCTATGTGATGCTGTGACCTCCTATTTTTCCCTGAGTCCACCCCACCCCAGACTTTTTGCTATGACATGTCTTTGTTATGTATCCATATTTTCTTTCCTTCCTTCACTTTTTCTATCTATCTATCTATCCATCTATTTACCTAGTTTTGGTAATGGTAGTTTTATTTTTAATTAAAAAATTAATACTTATTTAGTATAGGAAAGAAGTGAGAAGTAGAGAAAAATAATAATATTTATAAGCTCACATTTATCAAGCCCCTACTAAGTTCCCTGATTTTATATAGTTTATGTCATTAAAATTTCATAGCAACTCTTTGGGGCAGGTAAAATTATTATTTCCAGTTTTACATATAGGGATACTGAGGCTTAAAGAGATTAAGTTATGTTTTCTTGAAGGCACCCAATAGTAAATGGTAGAATCAGAATTCTAACTCAGCTCTATCTTACTCCAAAGTTGTTGCTTTTATCTACTGTATCACATTACTTTAGAAATATTTAGTGATATTTCCTTCCAGGATTTTTAAACACATGCTTTTGGTTTGTTTCTTTTACCACAATATAATGATTCTGTGTATACAATTTTGAATCTTAGCCTTTTCCACTGTACTTTCCATGTTGATATAAGAATCTTGCAAGCATCCTTTTAAACATCTGGATAATATTCCACCAAACAGATGCACTGTGTAATTTACTTAACCTCTGTCATGTTGGTGGATATTTAGAACAGTCCTAATTTCTTTGTTGTATAAGCAGTGACCCAGGAACCTTCTTGGGGTCTAAAGTCAATGTGGTATTTTGGAATATTTCCTTCTAATAAATTCCAAGAAGTGGGATTCCTAGATCAACATATAGGGAAAAAAAATAACTTTTAAAGTTTCTCAAAGTATGCCTCTCAAAGTATGCATCAGAAGCCTCAGGATGCTTGTTCAAATGCAGATTTCTGGGGCGCCTGGGTGGCTCAGTCGGTTGAGCGGCGGACTTTGGCTCAGGTTATGATCTCACAGTTTGTGAGTTCGAGCCCCACGTAGGGCTTTGTGCTGACAGCTCAGAGCCTGGAACCTGCTTCTGATTCTGTGTCTCTCTCTCTCTCTGCCCCTCCCCCACTCATGCTCTGTCTCTTTGTCTCATAAATAAATAAACATAATTTTTTTTAAATGCAGATTTCTGGGCATCACTCCAAGTGCATATAATCAGAATCTCTGATAGGCAGAGCTCAGGAATCAACATTTTAACAGGCTCCGTAGAGAAATATAATGCAGACTGAAGTTTGAGAACCACTGACCTATATACAAATTGCCAGTTTTCTCCCCAATACAAGTTCTACTGATTTCCACTCCCATGAGCATTTTCTAAATTCAATGGTTTGTTCCTATCTCCACTTCCCACACCCCTACATACACAAACACACATATTCATAAGGTGGCACCCAAAGCGTGTCAGTACACCATAGGAGGATCTACCTCCATTTTTTAAGATAAAGTTTATTTATTTTGAAAGAGGCGGGGAGAGTGTGAACAGGGGACGGGCAGAGAAGGAAAATCCCAAGTAGGCCTCTGCGCTGTCAGCACAGAGCCCAATGTGGGGCTCAAACTCATGAAACTGTGAGATCATGACCTGAGCTGAAATCAAGAGCTTGATGCTCAACTGACTGAGCCACCAAGGTGCCCCAAGGATTTCCCTTCTTTAGCCTCTAGCCTCTACCTCAGGTTCATAGCACTTTGTAGCCAAATTTCCAGGGCAACTGAGGAACAAGTAGTTCTTAGGGAAGCCGCAGGGAGCAGATGCTCAAGCTGGAAAAGCAACCTTTCTCCACTTCCTGGCCCACATTTCACATCTGGGAAAACAAGCCAGTTCAAGAGTTGGGTGATGGTGGCTGTGGTATGAGGCGTGGATGTTAAGCCTGCCAGTGCCCTGAAGCCTATTACTTCCTGGTTCAGCAGAGCCATTGGCTACTCTCAGATGTAGATTCCCCACTTTCTATATAATGTTGGCCCCAGGACAGGTGGGACACTACTTTCACTCACTGGCACAGGCCCATCTATTCTGCAGCATGCGATAGGGACAAAAATATGGGCTTTGGAGTTAGATCTGGATTTGAACTCTAAATCAGCCATTTTCTAGGTATATGACTTGGAAAGTTGATTTAACTTCTTAGAATCTTAGTCTTCCCTTTCTGAAAAAATGGGGCTCAAAATTCCTACCATAATGAGATAAGGCATATGAAGCACTTAGCACATTTGGCACAGAGTGGACTTTCAATAAAAGCTGGCTTCCTTGTCCCCTTTCCTCCCTCTGGAGGCCCTTCTGTGGCTTACAGCCAATAAAGATCCTGGTTTTTACCTGTGTTGTAATGCTTGGTACAGTAGCCTAGATCCTTCTCATCCCGCAAGATAAACTGGGGCAGAGTCAGCCCCTCAGCCACTTGGACAGCAGGAGCATCTTCCAGCCACTCAAACACGAGGTCATTCATGGTGTAGCCAACTAAAAGTGACAGAGATGGCAGAGGGCTGCAGAGTGTGGTTCTGGGTGGGGTAGGGAGAGGGTTAGAACCAGCAGGAAAGAACAGATGAGGAGGTAAGGCCTGGGTTTTAGGAGCTTCATGCTCATCTTAGAGAGGGAAACCTTTCTGAAGAGGGAACGTGGTCAATTGTCTTATGGGCCTAACCTAAGTAGGTAAAGAAAAAAGATTTCAGATTCCCCTTCTATCTAGTTCTCAAGCTTTAGAAAGTCCCAGAGAGAAATTATTCTGGCAGACCTATAAAGCAGGTCAAAAGGGTTGGAAAGATGTCAAGGAACCCAGCTAGGAACCTCCTGACATGTCTCAAATCCAGTGGAGTAAGGACGTGTACTGACCACATGTCTTGAACAGAACCACCCTCAGAGCTAGGCCTTCTGCCACTTCACCCCAGGGAGGAAAAACTATTTGTACCCCGCAAGTCATGCATGGGACAATGTGCATACCACAGACTCCTAGCCAGGGCCCTGAACTGGGGCAGATATTGAGAGTTAACATCTGAACATGCCAAGTTGCTCACAGCTAGCAGTTTGTAAAGGCTCCTGCCATATATTTGACTGTATTCACACATGTCAGGTAGAATTGGAAGAAGAAACACTGAGGCCCACAGATGTCCAATGTAGAGCCTTGACTCAGAGTAGCCGTGTGACTTTGGACAAGTCATTTCCCCTTTGGTAAAATGCTCCACCTACTTTTCACAGTTGTGAGGGGGTAATAAGAACCAGGATGTGAAAGTGGTTTGAACTCTAAAGAGCTGACCACATTCTACCCATCACTGTTATTATATGCTGGAAACAGCCTGAGAAGCCTTCTTCTCTGAGAATTGAATGCATGTGTATTGATCTCACAGGAGATGGCCAAGGACTGCATATAGGTGATGGTCCAGCCTTGTCATCCTTTGACTTATCTGCAATTGGGGCAGCCCCTAAAAGCTGGCACCCCTGCCACAGACTAGCCCTTGGCTCACCTTGACACCCTGGGCACTGTCCTATGCCTAGAATTGTCCTCTTCTGGTTCTCTACAAGTTATCTTTGTTTATGAGCAATCAGGGTTCAGTAACCCCTCTACCGTCTCTGGCATTTTTATAGGCATCTTGAATGTCTTAACTCAGGGCGAGTAAAGGTAGAATTACTCCAGGCACAGTGAGAGGGAATATCTATTGGCAGAGAAAGTATCTTTAAAATAACCCCCCACAACCAACACAAGCACATTTGTATGTAAAGCTGGTACCTTCCCATTCCCCAGCCCTGTGGAATAGCCAAACCAGTAAACAGTGTGAGGATGGAAAAACACATTGGGTTGGGTGTTAGTGGGTCCCGGCTCCTAGTCTCATCTGTGCCAACAACTGATTGTGTGTAAGGGTAAGTCCCCATTCTGGGTTGCCCTTTTCTTGTCTAGAATATCATGGGATGGGGTTAACTACCTGATATTCCAGGCCTTGCTCTGTGACTCTCTAGAGACACTTACAGCTCTCCAGCTGCATCGTGCAGGTCTGGATATCCATGGGGAAGTTCTTGAGGTCCATTGGGCAGGACAAAATGAGGGTCAGCCTGGTAGGGACAGTAAAAAAGAAGTGACATCAGCTTACTGTGGCCAAGTACAACACAGGGAACCCTCTTCCCATCCCTCAGCCTCCATCTGGTTTCTTCCTCTTGACCCAAACTTTCCTGGGCATCCACCAGGTGCACCTGATGCTGTAGAGCACATTCCCATTCTTGAAGATGCGCAGTAACTTGTTGTCTGTGGTCACCTCATGGAAACTGGCCCCTTTCTCATTGGCAAAGAACAGGTCTGGCTTCCAGATAGAGTCTAGCATGGAGGGATCAAGGTCCAAAGAGTCATCAGGATATTCTCCATAGGCTAGGCGTGGGTCATTCCACTGTTGCCGCAAGAAGACATTCACCCGGTAGTCCTGGGAGGGTGCACAGATGGGCCCATCAGAGGCAGTGTTATTCCAGGGACCCAGCAAGTCTACATGGGCAGGAGGGTCATGAGGAGAAAATGCTGGGAGCATATCTCAGGGGCAGTGGACATTTTCCACTGGATAAGGATCCTGCTTTGGCTTGACATGGCAAAGATGGGAAGGGAAAAGACATTTATTAAGGACTTGCTATATGCCAGGCTCTCTGCTAAGTGCTTTATTTATATGCATCATCTCATTTAAATCTTACACCAACACTGTGAGGAGGGTACTGTTATGATCCCCATTTTACAGATGAGGAAACTGAAATGAGAGATTTAAGTAACCTGTCACACAGCTATTAGTAGAGTCAGGATTTGAACATGGGTTTTGTCTGATTCCAAAGACTGTGCTCTGTACCAAGCTACCTCCCATGATTGGCCATCTGCTCCTTAGGCTAGTCTGCCTTTAGCCACTGAACCCCAGGCTAGAGAAATATATCTCCCAGTGACCAACTTCAGACATCCCATGGCTTTAGCCATGATCATGAAACAGGGAGAGGAAGGCAGAGGGAGGAAAGGTTCGGTATCTGGTGGGTTTCTTCCATTCACACTAGAATGGAAGCAGGGAACAAAGAAACTCCTTACCATAGTAGTCTCAGTGACAGAGCCAAAACTGTTGATGAAGATGTTGCAAGTCACATTCACAGGTGGGCCTAAAGGTGGCAAAACACAGCCATATTGGCAGGGCATTCCAGGAGTCTGGAAGCATGTTCTAGGACTCCCTCCCTGAGCTTAAGGCCAAGGCACTTCTGGGAGAAGGCAGTGCCAGCTACACAGACCTATGGGCACTAGGGAGGGGAAGCTCCTTCTGAACTGTAAGAGCTAGCCCTGTGCCCCCAGCCTCCTCTCCTTGGGGCAGACAATAGGGGTGGCATGGCAGTGCGCTCCCAAGAGGAGTGGGGAAGAAAGGGTTTTTGTAGGATGAATGCTTCTTACCTTTAAAATTGGGTCGAATTCTGGCATCATATCCTGATGTTCGTCCCATAAGCTTGTCCAGGAAATCAGAGGGGGACATAGGTTGGGGCCCTTTGGTCCCAGAATTGACTTCCTCTTTTGCCAAGGCCACTCTGGACAGGATAGATAAAGAAGTCTGAGGCCAGTTGTATTCTACATTTATCACAGACCCTCTACTTTCCTGTCCCTACACACCTCTGGCTGGTCTCTCCATCAGGCAGGAGGATAGGAGAAGATGGGTCTCTGGGTACCCATTTGCAAAATGAGGAGACTAGAAACAGCCATAAGCCAACACTGCAGCTCAATAGTTAGTCCTAAAAAAGTGCTTTCACATATATGAGATCTTTTTACCCTCACAATTCTCAGTATAGTGAGGGTGAAGACAGATGAGAAAAGTGACTTGTGGGATTGGAACAGCCACTATAGAAAATATTATGGAGATTCCTCAAAAAAGTAAAACTAGAACGACCATATAATCCAGAAATTACACTTCTGGGAATATATCCAAAGACAATTAAAACACTAATTCAAAAAGATATATGTACCCTTGTGTTTATTGTAGCACTATTTATAATAGCCAAGATATGGAAACAATCTAAGTGTCCATCAACAAATAAATGGATAAATGGTATACACACACACACACACACACACATACATATGTACACACACACACACACACAACAGAATATTATTCAGCTGTAAAAAGAAGGAAGTTCTGCCATTTGTAACAACATGGATCTTGAGGGCATTATGCTAAGTGAAAAAAGGCAGACAAAGACAGACAAATACCGTGTGATCTCATTTATATATGGAATCTAATAAAGACATAAACAAACCAAAAGAGGAGTGGCCTACCCTAAGGTCTCAAAGTTGGTGAGTGACAGGATCAGGGCTCAAACCCAAGGGGTTGAGACCTAATCTAGTATTCTCTTCCTGAAGGTGTTTTGAAGAGTGACAACTCACTGGAAATAACATGTTTGCTGCAATGTTTTGGCTTAGCCAAGGATGGGAAGGACTCAGGGACAATTTGCATCACTGAGAGTTGGTTTTAGTTGCTTAGCCTTCATGCTAAGCCACTCAGGATCTAGGGACCTAGCTTCTAGAGAGAGAGAGACTTGGCTTCTGGTGTTTAGTCCAGCAGGAAGCTATGTTTTGAGCTGGATTTCAATTAATGCTTGGGGAAGATTCAGGCATATAAACTCTCTCTGGCAACAAAACAGGTGAGGTAGCAGGTCTCTAGAAGCATGAGAAGGGCTCCCAGAAGGATGGCTATGCCAAAAAGGTCAATTTCCATCTTTTCCCCCTAACAGCTTGATTTTGAGGAAGGGACCAGTGTGCTTTGGCCTAACCTAGAGGCTGGGCCCCTTCTCCCCTGACAAGTTTCCTTCTAAGAGCAGCAAAACTCCTTCCATATGCCTTCTTGTCTGCTTACCAGCCAACAGCTAGCCTAGGGACCAGGAGCTCAGCCTTGAGGGCCGAGGTAGGGCTCAGGGACAAACTCAGGTTGGACTCCTGGCTGGGCCTAGCCTTCCTGCTCCATCCTGCCATCATCATTGTGCTAGCCACTAGAGTTAGCTCTCTCACAGCCACTACTATTGCCACACTCTGTGGTTGGGAGGCAGGGTGACTACTGTCCTTCTGGGTCTAATTCTCTTTGAGCCAACAGACCCTGTTACATCTGTGCACCATGCTAGGCCATATAGATCATATGCACTGTGATCAGTAAAATAAGAAAAATAGCTAAGGCATCATGCTACATGCTTTACTCACCTTATCTAGTTTAGTTCTCACATCAGTGCTCTCAGATAAAGGTTATTATTATCCCCCTTGTATATATGAAGAAACTGAGGATCAGCAAGATAAAGTGACTTATTCATGATCATACAGCTAGTAAATGGTAAAGCCAAGATTCTAACCCAGAGCTATTGACTTCAAAACTAAGTCCATCTACCACAATGCAATGATGCAAGCAGCCCAGGGTGGGCTTCCAAGGAACCAGAGTGGGGGAAGATCAGTGGAAGCCACACCCTGATGTCCTAGAGTCCTGCCTCTTTGAATCCCCTGAGCAAAGGAAGCCCTTACTCTGGGAACAGAGACCATTGAGGCCACAAACAGTGGCTGCCAGAGCAGGTGGCTTAAGCATGCTCTGAAAACCCAAGGAGGCTGGCGGTGGTGCTGGAGCAAGCAGAAATCTGTGGCTTCACTACAGGGTGTCCATGATGGCCACATGCTGCTGCTGGCTGCCTGCCACCTGCCTGCTGGGAGGCCACATTGTACTGTACATGGAGCAGCCAGACCCTCGCCAGCATCTTCGGCCCCACTCTCAGGTCACCTCTCCCAATAGTTCCAGAGCTAAATTTTTTTCTCATGCAAGCCTCTGGGGTGGGGTAGTGGAAGAACTCTGATTCTGCTACTGGGTGGTGCCTGAGTGACCTTGGACAGGTCACTCCCCTCTCTAGGACTCAAGTTTCTATATATGTACAATGAAATGCTTAGACTCAAGACTTCCTAAGGTCTTGCCTTGCTCTAATTGTCCAAGTGGGAATGCTGCCACTAAAGCTTGGGCCTTGAGGCAGCCTCCCCTCCAGGAGGGCCAATGAGCTCCACCATGTGCCCCCTTCTGCCTGCATCCTCCTACCAACTGCAGCTGAGCTGCCATTCTACTCTGGGCTATTTTTCACTCTTAGGAAGTTTGTCGTCCCACACATATCACATCCCTGCCTGCCTGCCAGCCAATGTATCTGTAAGCAGTGAGGCAGGAAGCTCCTCAGAAACAAGCAGTCCTAGTGTGTTCCTTGAATTAAGAGGAGGAGGAGGTTATTACCATGGCACCTGGCCCTCCTCACCTCAGGAGGCACCCTTCTTATGACCAGTTCAGCCCAAGCCACAGCCATCTTTCCTCCTCAACTCACCCTGTCCACTTAGACTGGCTCTTGGTCTCATGAGAAAGTGGGAATGGGTAGGGGTACATTTACAGGAAGCTGAAAGCATGTCTTGCCCTCAAGCCCAGAAAATGATTTCCACTTAGTGCCCCTTCAGGGACAGCAAGCTGCCACATGTGCACAGGCAGGGTGACTGCAGAGGGACAAGGTTTGCTCAGCCCAGCTTCATTCTGATATGGTTTAGAGCAAATCCCTGATACTTTGAAGCCTATTTGGTGGGCAGCTGATAGATGTTGGTGTCATTTTTAGGAATTTGAGCAGTGTGTGGCCATACTGGTAGGGAGACAGGAAAGGATGGTAGGACAGATGACCTCTGTTCTGGGGCTCATCTACCCAGCCCATACCCAAGCCCATAAAGATCTCACCCATGCAGAAGCCTTCCCACCAGCTCTGGGGCCTTGGCATTCCTCATAAAAGCCTCCCAAGTCCTGGTTGGGGGGAGAGTGTCCTTCCCTGGAGCCCTCCAGACTGTAAGCTTTTTTGTAAACTTAGAGGAAACTGTGCCAGAAGCCCCTGCTGCCCCCAGCCAGTGTTTGCATGTACCTTCTTCTCACTCCAACTCAGCTCACCTGAGGAGGACTTGCCCTGGCAGGGTCCAGAGGAGAAGGAAGGAGAAGGTTGCAGGAACAAGAGTTGTCATTCCGCAGGGAACCTGGAGCTCTTTCTCAGCCTGGCTGCCAAGGTAAGTGTGATATCCCAGCAAGGAGAATGTTGCAGAAAGTAGAGAGCCTTTCTCCAACTTGGTCTGCTCACATGGAGCCTCTGGGGCCAGGCTAGGAGTTGTGCACTCTTCCTCCTCTTCTGCTCTCTTCTCTGCCCTGCTGTTACCAGTCAGGGGCCAGAACTATTCCCCCTGGAAATGATCCTGATTTGGATAACCCTACCAGCTCCTGCTCTGGCTTGCCCGGGGGCTCCGGAGGGCCTCAGCCTGCCTGCCTGCCTGCCTGCCAGAGAGCATTCTCTTTGGGCAGCACTCACCAAACCCTGGAGTGTCTTGGAGGGAAGGAAGGAGGGCGACTGGTAGGAAGATGTTGCCCTCCCTCCCACCTCCCCCTAGATACACCCTCCTAAAGTTTTAAAGGCACAGTCGCCTGGCAGCTGGAGTGGGGTTCAGAGAGTGTCGTGTGTTGGGGAGGACCTCGGGCTGCCTCTGCTGCCGCTTGGAGAGGGCTGGAGGTGTTCTGTCCAGCTTCTAACTCTCCAGCTGGAGGAGTGCATGCAGGCTGCCCTGCTCCCAGCTCCCCAGCTGGGGAGCTTATAGCCTGGAGCTAAGCTGGGACTGAGCTGTAACATTCTAATGATTTTTGTAAGGGGGAAAAATACCTGAGAGGGTTTAGGCAGAGGCATTGGGTTTTCTCAAGCTGACAGCTTCGGGTTTGAGAGCAGGCGAGAGGGAGGCCAAGGGCAGGGTTGGCTTTTCCTCAACCCTCTGGATGGAGGCACAGGGCATGGATGATACAGAGGAACCTTGGAATCTTCCTCATATTGTTCTGCCTGCCTGTCTGTCCATCTGTCTGTCTGCCTGTCCCATCTCCTTCATCCTTGCAGTTTCATATCCTTTTCCCTGACTGCTTTCTTCCCTCAGGTTGTCTCTGGTGAGCTTGGCCAGCCCTCCATAACTCTTGGAAACTCTCTTTACCTGATACCCTTCCCCCAGCCCAGCTTGGCTGTGGGAAGAGATAGGTGTCCCTGGCAGGGCCAGAGCAGGCCTGGCAAACAGTAAGTTTGCAAGCTTCAGAGGAGGCAAAGCAGCCTAGAGCAATGATCTGGTGACCCAGCCCTGAATGGGAAAGAGAGGCAGGGAGAGTGGGTCTATCTACTCCCTGGCCTCTGCCCATTTGCTTGCAGCATCCAGGTACTTTAGCAGCAACACATCTCTTGCCAGACCCTTCCCCCAACTTTCCTGAGCAGCAGCTCAATTGCACTGAGACTTCCTCCAGTGTGTTTCCCTCTCTCTTTTCCTCTACTCTCTTCCTCCTTTTCCCTGATGTTTTCCTCCATCTAGCCTCTCTTTATCTCCACCTCCTTCCTGGTTTCTTCTCTGTGTCTCACCTTTTGAGTCTGTCTTCTCCCTCTTCTTTGGCCCTCACTTTCTCTCCATTCCCTGTTTCTCTCTCAACCTCCCTGCTATATCCATTCTCTTACTCTCTTCTAAATCACAACAGCGAGAAGCCAAGTGTTTTCATATTCTTCAATGGAAACTCTCATACCAGTTCTGCTGAGTTCTGAGTGCATACAGGGGGACGGTCAGTGCCACTTTACAGGGATCCCAGAGCTGACTGCAGCAACCCCCCCAGCATCACCAGAAAGGGGTTTTGGGGATTGCAAGCTCTTCTAAGGGCCCGTTGGGTTGTTAGAGGAAGTTATGATGACAAGGTAATAATGCATAGAACTTGCACTGCATCTCCCTTTGGCTGTGTTATTATTCACAGGAGGAATTTTTTAATCACAAATTACATGGAAAGAAGATCATTTTAAACAGTACACACTGAAATGTTGATGGAGAGGACTGGGCTTTTGGAATTGGGACTAGAGACATTACAAGCTGCAACTAACATTTATATGGTCAGTAAGTACAACAAACAAAGTATTAATTTTCCTAAAAACATTTTTAGCAGTCCTTTTACCTGCTCACCCTCCCTCCTCATTTCTGGTAAGCATCACAGTGCCCACTCTGCAGGCACAAGTGCAGGTGGGAAGAAAATCTTCCAGAACCTCTTCTGGCAGAGCTCCTGATTAAGCAGCTAAGGGCAAGTGTGGGTGTGGAGAGGCACTTGCCTCCTCTGTGTAATGCACTCCTTGTGCCAAACCTAATCATGTCATTTCCCCTGCCTCAACTGTTCCCTATTGATCTCAGGTTGAAGTTCAAGGTTCTGCATAATCTGTTCACTCTGCTTGACCCACTGATGTGTCTAGGGTCACCATCTCTCCAGCTTCCAGGTATTTTCACATGTTCTCTCTACCAAAGCACTCTTCCTGCCTCTCTTACTTATTCCTGTAAACTAAGTTTTATTGTCACTTTCTCAAGAAAGACTTCTTTTTTAATTTTTAATTTTTTAATTAAAAACATTTTTTTGTAATGTTTGTTTATTTTTGAGAGAGAGAGAGAGAGAGAGAGAGAGCATGAGCTGGGGGGCAGAGAGAGAAGGAGACACAGAATCTGAAGCAGGCTCCAGGCTCTCAGCTCTCAGCTCAGAGCCTGACCCAGGGCTCGAACTCACAAACTGTGAGGTCATGACCTGAGCCAAAGTTGGATGTTTAACTGACTGAGCCACCCAGGCACCCCTAGTTTTTTTTTTATTTCAGAGAGAGAGAGAGAGAGAGAGAAAGAGAGAGAGAGAGACAGAGACAGAGCAGGGGAGAGGGGAGAAAGGGGGAGAGAGAGAGAGAGAGAGAGAGAATCTTTTTTTTTATTTATATATGAAATTTATTGTCAAATTGGTTTCCTTACAACACCCAGTGCTCATCCCAAAAGGTGCCCTCCTCAGTACCCATCACCCACCCTCTCCTCCCTCCCACCCCCATCAACCCTTAGTTTGTTCTCAGTTCTCAACAGTCTCTTATGCTTTGGCTCTCTCCCACTCTAACCTGAGAGAGAGAATCTTAAGCAGGCTCTATGCTCAGTGAGGAGCTGAAGGCTCAATCCCACAATCCTGTGATCATCACCTAAGTCAATATCAAGAGTCAGATGCTCAACCGACTGAGCCACCCAGGCACGCCAAGAAAGACTTCTTGAAGTGCCACCACTCCCTTCAAGTCTGGGTTTGAAGACCCTCCAATGTGTTCCCATAGGACCCTGGCCTTCCCCCTTCACAGCACCCATCGTACTTCATTATAGTTGTCTGCTTACTACCTCTCTCCCCTGCTGTACTGTGAGCTCCCTGAGGGCAGAGACATATTATCCACCAAATCCCTGGAGCCCAGTTCAGAGCATGGCACATTATAGGCAAATCTTTTAACATTTGTTAAAAGATGCATCCTGGGCACTCAGAGATGCTTCCCTGAACCCAGTGCCTGTGCATCTTTGTCGGGGAAGAATGATAAGTTTGACACTCAGAGAGAGGGCCAGCATGAGGTAATGGTAATAAGGAGAAATGAGGAAGCGGTTTTTATTCCCTTGCCCCTTAAGCCTGTGGCCTCATACTCAGTCATTTGGAATTCTTGGCTAATGGAAGTCATAAGCCCCTTGGGACTGGTGCACTGTCTTGATATCACCTTCTGTGGGCCCTGTGGGATCCTTGAGTGGTGACAGTATAGTAGGGTCAGCTTGTTGGGAGGAAAGATCCTTTCTTATGAGAGGCTGCAGTGATGACCAAATGTCTGGCTGGCATGATGAAGGGATACAGCTTTCCTAAGGTTCTGGAAGCAAAGTTTTTGGGAGGAGAAGGGATGGAGAGGTGGCAAAGAACTGGGTAATTTCTCCTAGGAATTGACAAGAGGCAGAGGAGATGCCTATTTAAGAGTTCCTGTGCCAACAGGAAGCCACACTCTGTGCAGATGACCTCAGCAATTTCTGGCCTGGGAAGGGTACAAAGTTGTGTTCAGCTTTGCTGTATATCCCCTTTCTCTTCTTATTATCAAACTATGATGGATATGATTCTCCATGTTCCAAAATGTATCACACCGTTTTCCTGTTTTGCAATTGATGGCCACATTGGCCCCAATGTTGGGGTTGTGGAGAGGCTACAATAGGCAAAGTGTTTTTCAGGATGAAAGATATTATTTCATCATGACAAAATTACTGAGCTGCTAAAAATTGATTAAGCACATTTTCATAAATGTTTCATTCCAAGAAAGAGTCTGTCACATTTCAGCCCTATGCAAAGAAAATGGCAATTGCCCCCTCCTGACAAGCAGACTTCCTGAAACCTCATTCTGGAGGACAGCATATTATTTGGTTAACTCAGTGATTTCTAAGACTTACTTTTGGGAGAAAGCTGGAGAATCACTTTGCATACCTTCCTGGACCCAATCTCTCATACTGCCTGTCCAACCTATTGAAGTACAAACTGGTCTGGGGTATACCTCAAAAGGCAAGATCTTTCCCCTGTCTGATGAAATTTGCAGAGAATTAGGTACTTCTCAGAAGCATTGAGGTAAGATTTTTTTTTTGGTGGTGGGGGGGTGAAATAAAAGACAAACACCTTTTTAAAAATCTGCTAACAAGTACCAGGACAACTGCTAACAAGTACCAGTTGGATCTCCAAGGAGCAAGGCTGCATCTTCTTGATGTGTGTGTTTTTCTTTTCAGGGTCATTTTCAACCACCATGTATGTGACAGTTTACTCGAAAGTGGAGGCTCAACTTCTGGTGCTGAGGGAGCACTACCAGCAGAGGTGGGAAGCCCCTTGGCCCTCAGACTCAAGGAGACATGCATACTGTATGCAGGTAGTAGCAGTGCTGGGATTTTCACAGTCCTCAATTCATCCAGAGGAAGGAAGAAGAACAAAATGGCAGATGTGTCAGGCACATTCTGTGCTCTCCTAAGACTTTTGGAGACTACCTGGTTTAAGTCCGATGTTTCAAATATTAGCCTTTCTTCTCTTTATGGAATTTTTCAAGCATGGGTTTTACAGACAAAGCCTGAGGCATCTGAACTTGACCCACAAAGAGGTTTACTGAGCTCCTCCCAGTCCTCAA